TCAGACTTCTTCTCTTGGCTTCTATTTTTCCAGTGTGCTGCATTTCCCAGGCCTCATTATAAGACCGCTTTAGGCCGAATTAAACATCACCTTTCTATGCAATCTATTGCAGGTCCTCGAGTCCAAAAAAGCACGGTCATCGGCCTCCAAACAGTGGCCTCCAAACCAATGGCCGAAACCATTTTCCTGTCGCAACGGTTGTGGTCGCAACATGTCCAAATACCGATGGATCGCAGCAATGGCAGCGATCAACTCATCGTTGTCAACGCATGTGTGCTCAGATGCCACGTGAGCAACTGCCAAAACCTCCGATGAAGGCATCACTACAGTGAAGACAAATATATAGTAGTAAAATGAGGGAACCCTTCAGGATTGATAAGGTTCACAAAACAACGGCAAGGTTATAGTAGCGCATGTTGTTAGGTTCACTGAAAACGCACTACGCATAAGAGGTTTCACGTCGCCCACGTATCTTCGTATCTTCCCTTAATGGTCTCGAAGTCCAACTACACTAATGCACGAATGATAGGGGGCTGTAGATGGTGCGGCTGTGCGTGGTTTGCGATGCAATTCCTGGCGGCAGCTCGCCGACCCTGAGCGCTGAGCTGCACCTCAGACTGATCATCTGATTAGCTTTTGGGATGGACACCGTGGAACATGGCGAAGTGGTTCTTCCAGTGTTTTTTCGGCGCAGGTGTCTTGCGTCCTGAGAGCCCAAGGTTTTTTTTGTGAAGAGGTCTTGCATCCTGAGATCTCAAGTTGTATGAAGTGAACTTGTTACATTGCAGGTATCAGGTCCTCGTTGACTTGGGCGTGGCGCGGGCCGATTCGACTGCGGATCGACCTCGCCTTTGCCGCCATTGCTCGCACTGGCGGGCGAAAGCGCTGCGGGTGGTGGAGTTCGTGGCAGTTTGGATCGGAGTGCCGTGGTTGCCCATGCTCGAGCAGTGCCTTTTTTACCCCCAAGAAAGAGAAAAGGGAACCTCGGCCAATCTGGTGTTCAATCTCTGTCCCTTGACTCTTTCTAATCTATCTAGGAGCCGCTCGGCGCCAATTCCTGTTCACGAAGGATCAAACCACGCTTGGAGATTAGAACATCTACTGACGTACATTTGTTTGGGCCGGGCGCTGGGCGCCGTGCGGCGCTAGGCCCATGTGATTAACTCTACGTGCTAAAAATAGAATTTGCCAGCAAAACGTAATAGTAGTAGTAAGCTTTCCGCTTTCCTGTAGCAGGCGATAGCCGAGTTGAATCAATGACTGCGTTCCCTAAATATAGAACATACTGACCAAAGGGACATACGATGTGGCAATTGTGGGGCGGGGCGCCGGGCGGCGCTGGGCGCCGTGCGGCGCAGGGCGCCGTGCGGCGCAGAGCGCCGTGCGGCGCTAGGCCCATGTGGTTAAGTCCACGTGTTCAAAAAAAGCAATTGCAAGCAACACATAGTGGGAGTAAGCTTTCCTGTAGTAGGCGGTAGCCGACTTGAACCAATGAGTGCGTTCTCTCAACTTGGAAATATAGAACATACTGACCAAAGGGGCATACGATGTGGCAATTGTGGTCTTCGTTTTTGGCACACCTACTCAACAGTCTGGCACTACTGACCAAATAGCTTTTGCCAGCCGAACAACCATGGGTGTGCTCAAGCCAGCTCACAACATGTCGTTTCGCGGTCTTGGGAGCCAAGGCTTTTGTGACCGTGCTTCAGCGGCTGTTCCCGGAGGATCGCGCGCTGAAGCGGCCTGAGCTGGCGGAGCGTCGCAATGCGCTCCAGGTTGGTGGCGAGTTTCAGGAGTACGCTCTGATGCTCGTCAAGCAGTGTGAACCTCCTGGTTGGGGCTCTGAAATCCTGAGGCGTATATTGTACAGATATAGTTTATTCCATATGCACGCATGTATGTATGTATGTATGTATGTATGTATGTATGTATGTATTATGTATATTTCTACATTCAAGGTTCCTTCCAGTCTGCACCCTCGTATCAAGTGGCTCTCAGCCTGGTGGTTCTTTACCAGGGGAAGGCATTCGTCGTATGCCCATATATGCTTCAACCGAACATCACTCGGATTTTGACAGAGGACCAAACATGGGGCGCCGGCCCCTTTCTTGGACCGCGCGACGCTCCAGCTGTACACCCTCGTGCAGCACCAGCAGCCAGCGGACATCTTAATGTCAACCATAACTTTGCGTGCTTTGTGCAACGACGCAGAGCACATGAGGGCGTTCTGGCTGTTGTTCGAGCAGGCAGCTTGTTGTTCATTTTTCATTGGGTAGTTTCAACAGTCTAAAGCTGTCGTCACGGAATTATTGCGGAGGGGTGAAAATTGAAGACAGGGCCTTGGTCGCTGCGCATGTGGCTGACAGCTGCGTGTAACGCCTGAATGCGCGCAGGTCCGTGGTGTCCCTCTGGGCGCAATCTCCTTGCGCCGTTGCAGCGACAGTGCTTTGGAGGACCTTTGTTGCGTTCAGCTTCCTATTTCCTAGACTTCAGAACCGCTCATCTCACAGGCTTGCAGTGCGCGCGTCAATTTGACGATGCCCTTCCCAGGAGCTCGTCATGGCGACGAAGTCCCAATGGCACAGGTCTGGCATAGGCCAACGGGCCTGCCCTTGGCACGCAACTCGGTCGGAAGGCGGAATTACGCTAACGGGGTCCGATGGCCAGCCCCACAGAGTTATAGTCAAGTCAATAATATTACAGTTCAGTTGGCTTTGGAGGCGATGGTTTCTGCAGGGCATCCACCCCATGCATCGTCGTAGTAGCAATGGCTGTCAACTGGTATAGGCTCCAGAGCTGGAATTATTAAGATTCAAACACCTTGTATTCCCGAGAACATAACTACAGTTAAATTCCAAAGTGCTTCAAGATCGTGCGGGGCAAGGACCCGGGTTCCAGCACACCAAGCTCGCACGGTGCCAACGCCAGCCTCAATGATGTATTGAGCTGTGAAGGGATCACCGCCCTGCTCAGGCCTCGCAGAAGGGGCCCGCTCTGAGCAAAGCAGTGCGCTGGCTGCGGTCATGTTACGATCGCGTGCGGCGCATGGGGGCGAAGAAGGTTTTGCCGCTTGCCAAACAACATGCGGCCTTTCAGGTCGCCGAAGGTCGGCCCTTCAATTGCTTTGTGCCTTCGAGCTTGAAAGCAAACAGGCAAAGGCAGGCAGACATACACTCTTGAAATAATAGCCAACAGGCAAGATGCAGGCGTACATATCCCAGATGTCCATGGTTCCCAACCAAAGCCAGGCAAACCATGAGCTGCCCCGAGGGCATGTCCGAACTGACATAAACCTCTTACAACTGATGAGGACTATACATTTTTTTGCTTGAAACGTTAGACGCTAGAAATATTCAAACCGTCAATCCTCCTTGCACCGGATGTTTGGGCGACTGGATAACCCACATGCAAGCTTAAGGAAGTCGCTGTTCATTCAAAATAACTTTTGGGGCAAGGGTTTTGTGACAGCTCCTAGGGTCAGGGTTCTGAATATTGTGTCCATGCATTATGCCTTCTCTTTTCCACTCTGAGGAAAAAGGGCAAGATCCTCCAGAATCTGACGACGTGCGGGTTCAACAAAAGCGGACTGTGTCTTGGCGCACTGTTGGGCGTGGAAGAGTCGTGTTTTTTGCAGGATGCAGTTGCCCACAGCCACTGTAAAGGCAACGGTCAACAGTTCCATTTGTAAATTCCTATCGCTTTTCGTATTTGTTCTGGCGCAGGGTGCAGAGTTTCTGGACATTGCTTTACACATCTCCCAAGTGTTTCCAATCACCACATTAACGGCCACTGAGATTTCGATCCATGGTGGCCAGAGATCTTGAAGCTCTTTTGCATCTCGAGGATGAGGAGGGCTGGGGGACAGGCTATACGCATGTTAAACTTCTCACCCAGCAAATCTCAAAACTCGTGTTTTGTGCATTAGAGTGTTGAGATTGAAAGTGTGTGTATGTGTCCCATGTTCCCAAGCGTTCCGCGGTCGCTATGACACATGAGCCTTTTGATACCATGAGCAGGGCCGTTTTTATCAGGTGTTCTTGGCAGGTGCAGGCAAGCAGTATCGTAAAGTACCAATGCAGATCGTTGTCTGCTCACCCGAGCCCTATTCTAAGTGTGCGCGCGCAGTTTGGGGTTTCTTTGAACTTGAAATCAGTGTCTCGAAGTTTTTGTGGCAGAAGCTGGATGTGTTTTTTCTCGCTCCACATATATTAATAATATTGGTATATGAATAGACCTCCTGTATCTATAACTCTTTGGTTTCTCTCGTGGTATAGCCTTCTATATGATATCCTCGACGGTTC